GAAGAGGAAGAGGAAGAGGAAGAGGAAGAGGAAGAGGAAGAGGAAGAAGAGCCTCATGGGTTTGTGAGCAGGTTTGGGTGTGCATGTTCTGCCAACCCCTTGCTTAGAGTCTTTGTTCTTTGTTTGAAGGGAAGCTACGGACCAAATGCCCAGAAGGACGTGCTTGATGGTGAGATCGTGACCAAGTTGCATAGATCGATGTGATTGTTCACTCCCACCCCAAGTGAGACTGAGGAAGATTTCTGTTTGCAACAGTTGAGAAGGACAACCCGAAAAAAGGCCGGCCATGAGCTTCAGATGAGGATCCGTAATTGAGTCGCAGGGCTCTGGTTCAAGCCACATCAAGTTGTCCTTCACTAATCACATCTAATCACTATCATCATCTGTCAGATACACTCCAAAATCTAAAATCAACTAAATCTACTAATCAGATACACTCCAGGTCCAGGTCAGAATCTCTCTGTTTGGCAACTGATCCGGCTCGGATCCGGATTTCCGGAAACTCTTCGCTTCGCTTCGCTTCGCCTTTTGTTTCTCGGCTCAACAGGAAGAACGGGTGGTCTACGAGGAGGTGGTGGAGGAGCCCGTCAGGCGTGGAGGAACCCGTGCCGGGAGGAAAGAGGGTGAGAACAGGTGACTCGCAGGTGAGGGTGAGCACAGGTGCTTTTTGACGTATAGCTGTGTGGACTGTTTCAATCTGATCTTCCGATCTTCCTTCGAGTTCCTAGGGTACAGTAGTTATTTTCTTCTTTTTGGATGGGTTGGGCAAGAGCTTTATGACGTCAGACACCCTGCCGAAATGTCGACACCCTGCCATCGATGGGAGGCAGGTCATCGAGACGAAGGGCGAGCCGGAAGGCGGCTGCCTACAGGGTCCAGTCGGACTCAGTGCAGAGATACTAGTCGTGTTTCTGTCTTTTTCCAACTCCAGAAAGTGAAGTCGTCCTTGATCTGTAGGGCATGGGACAAAGGTGATACTCATGTAGACTCTTGATGAGTAACCTCCTCCATTTGAATTGGACCTCCCTCTTCATATGGGGGGCGAGAAAAAGGCTCGGAGTCTTCAGGTCCGGTAGGTCCTTCCGGGCATCTCCGGTAGGTCTGGGCAGCGGGTCGCTGGGCCACAAGCCGCTCCTCCGAAGTGGGTCGAAGGTGTCGAAGAAGTGGTTCTACCCTGGAATTCCTACCAGCAATTGATGTAAAAAAGGAGTGTTTTTGGAGGTTTTGAGGAGTTGGGCTGCCGGAGTGGTTGACCATTGAGTCATTGAGTTCTTTTTTCTCTTTTTTTTAATGCACGCCTTTGTTAACTAAGACTTCGGCGCTTCGACGGCACCGAACACGGACCGAACCTCGTTCCCCTCGACGCTCACGCCGAACGCTCCCCGGACCCACCGAACCTCCTCGGCTTCCGCAGGTGAAAGACCTGCGGAGAGCCAGGAGATCGGTGTAGCTGACCGAGTGGGTGGACCATGGAAGGGATGGATTGAAGATGATGGATCCCAGGTTTTGTTGACCTTTTTGAGAGGGGTTGATTGGGATGGCAGGCAACAGCACTGTTTGAGGCTAGTTTTTCTTTGGGATGGATCAATGTTTGCCGTTGTTGCATCTTTTTTGGACTTAGGGAACAACTGCAAGTTCATTGACCAGGGCCTAAGTCTTGGCATACTCAGGGTCTGGTCCCATGTTGACTCCCACACACTCATGCGACCGGTGTTTCTAAGCACAACCCCTTTCTTTCTGCCCAAGAAACCGGTGTTTCTGCAAGAAACATCTAGAGACCTCAGAACTTGAGGAGCACTGTATGGGACGCTGAAGTATCACCTTGCCGTGTGGAGGGGCTTCCTTTGCCTACAGCTCCAGCTGTGCATGCGAGGTCATGGGAGGTCTTTCCAACTGCAAGTTTAGTAGCAACTCAAGGGAACTTTTCAGGCAAAGCACATTGAGGTGTACGAGCAACTGACGATGTTCAACACATTTTCGAGGGGTGAAGGCCTGCTGTGCCCGGGTGGTATGCTAGCTGATGGATTGCACATGATTGCACCCTTTTGTTTAACAAACATCAACTTGAATTTCAACATAGCATGCTTTTCCTCCTCTTTTCTTTCTTTCTTTCTTGTCTTCATCCATGCATCATCTTCCCCCACAGCCGCCACCAGGAGAAGAAACGTGCTGATCCGCGACCGCCCTTGCCCAGGCGACGGCCGTCTGTCCGTCCGTCCGTATCCGGCCTGATCGAACACATCAATCCCCCCCAAAAACGGACACATGGATGGAAACACTTCTTCACTACTGGGGTGTTGAAATATCATCATCAGTCTACATGGTTCCTTGCCGTGTGGCCTTGTCCTTGATAAGGAGCCTGCATTACTGCAAACAATGCAGATCAATGAAGATTCAGTTCGACCATTCCCCGGAATGCAAAACTTCCTGAGGCGCTTTGGTTGGTCCGTTCAAAGCAAACTTCTTCGTTTCTAGTCTGCAACTTGCATGCTGTTTGGGGTTGTCTCTGCAATGGTCTAGTGATTTAGACATACATTCAATCAAGTAAATCCGAATCGAAACTTCGGAACATCATCATGCCATTTTCGTCCATTTGCAGCCATATCATGCCATATCTATCCGAATCCCCTGTCCGACAGGCGAAAGAGGGCCAAGCACGACCAGGAGCGCGGTTCCACGGTACGTGCGGACGGGGACGTGCGGAAGGCGGGTGGCTTTAGAAGGATCCAGACCCAGAAGGTGATACTGGGAGGATTGGTTTTGGATTGGGTGGAGGGTTGGTTTTGGATTGGTTGATGGGGTTGGATGGAAGATTCCTCTTGAAGGCTCATCTTTAGGTCGCCCAAGCATTCCCCAGTGGATTCTCGTGACAGGACCGAAAAACGCTTCAGGACCGCCCGTTTGAACCTGATCCAGGTCGTGGGGTCCACCAAAGATCAAATCTGTATGACTAGCAGCACCGACTTCACAGGTCACCAATTGAAACCTGTTAGGGCCTTTCCCAACCCTCCATTTCGGAGACCTGTTGGAAGGTGCTGGTAGCTGGAGCGATTCGGCACCGGAGCGAAGAAAGGGGCCGGGTCGCCGGACCTGGGAGCGACCACTAGCTGGAGCTCCTCCCCTCCCTCCAGCGATGATGCGACCGGCACTTGTTGGCACCCCAAGATGTCATGAAAAGGATGGGGGTCCACGACCCCTTTAGGTATTGCCATCGACTTTCAAACCCACTCAGGTTTGGAACAACTTTCACCTGGAGACGCCCTCTGTGGTATCACTTCACCACCCTCCGTCCACCTCGGTTTCTGCACCTCCGCCCAGCAGGAGCCGAGGGGCCCCCAGCCGCCCCCCTTTGCGCCGCCGCCGTTGCTGCTGCGGGCGACGGCGAAGATGGCATCGGCGCCGCCACCGATGCCGCCACCGACCACAAAGGCACAGATCGGAGGGCACTTGCGGCCGACTTGGTGGATTTGAGCGTCCCAGTGATTCATGAGTTTTTGGAGAAATCATGAATTGATGAGTGACTAACTTTCAAGTACCTGGTTTTGGTGATTCTTTTGAATTCCCTATGGGTAAATCCCCTTCCGGGAAACATGTTCTATTTTTACCAGATTCCTTGAGCACTTTCTCCATTGGAACCAACCACATGCCTCGCTGGCTGGCAGTGGGTGCCACCCACAAACATCCACTCCAAACACCTGGGTGCCCTCACCATGGCCACCTGCAGGTGCCTTCCAACACCTCTTCCAGCCTTCCTTTCCTCTTCCCTTCCTGAGACAGGTGCCGAAGGCGTCCGAGCCACCGGGCCGCGAGGCGGATCCGGGTGGAGCGAACCGAGGCGTCCGATCGGCTGAACCGTCGCATCGGATCAGTCCATTGGATCGCCTAAGCGGCCTGGAGCGGAACCGCCGCAAAAAGACATCTTAAGCGATGTCCATTCGGAATCTACACATCAGTTCCATGCACTAGAATTCTGAATCAACCACAGGGTTATATGACATATAGGTTCCATGCACTATGACATAGGTTTATATGACATAGGTTTCATCACTGTTTTTGGTGCCTTTTTTCTCCCGAATGACCTTCGAAGCGTAGATCGAGGAGGTAGAGAGGAGGTTCTTTGGACCTTCGCGGAAAACAGTGTCCTTTCTCTATCTTTCTCTTGTTGCATCGGTTGCTGGGGATCCACTGGGTACACTTTGATGCTTGGCTGAAGCCACTGGCGCACCCGCCATTCGGGCGCCGAACTTCGGGCGCCTCGAACTTCGGGCGCCGATGCGCTTGCTCGGTCCGGGTGGGTCCTGCGGGGGACGTGGGGCTCCTTGAGCCGAATTTCAAGCAAATGTGCTCTTCCCAGAGGCTCATTGGACCCTCAGTTCGCTAGGGTTCGCTAGGGTTTTGACCCACACTTCGCCAGGGTGGTTTGGGATCCTTCACCAACATGTAGCAGGCTCAGTTCCGGTCCCATGAGCCTCTGCCCCTTGGGATCCATGCGCCTCTGTGATGGATGCGCGGAACGAGACGTGCCATCACCTCTAAAAAAAGGGTCGTTCCTGGCTGGAAAAAACACATCCATCTGATGAGGCGAGGCGGGGGACGTCTCACTTGGAGCGACTCACTTGGATCGCTGGTTGACCATCCAAGATCGAATCCGGCAAGGCCCGCCCTCGCACCGTCTTCGCCCGCGAGGAGGAGGCACCGGACCGGAAATTTGCGGTGCCATGTGTTGGGCATGTGGAGTGTGGCACTGGCGGGTTTGATGTCATTTTCCTTGAAAGCTGTGGAATTTCAAGAATTCCAGAGAGAGAGAGAGAGAGATGTACGAGGGGAATCAAGAGATTCGCAGCACCCTTCGGCAATCGTCCCCCATAGAGCATGATAGAGCACTTGAGGAACAGATTTCGATGGGTTCCCGAACTTTTCTTTCTATTGTAACTATTCAACATCCACTATTGTTGTCAGCAATTGGTACTACCCAATTTTAGGAAGGATCCGCTGGAATCGCCAGTGTTCCACCTCAAGAAGCGCGGTAAACTTGGCCCGAGTTTGGCCAGACACCGACGCCACAGGAGGTAGCGCAGGAGGATGAGAAGATGGTGAGCCCACGTAACGCACCCAATGGAAAGGAGAGCTGGAAGGAACTGACGAAGGAGTGGTGAATATCTTCCATTTCAACATTCACAGCACATTGAAAGGAGGAAGAACTACATCATTTCAGGGATTTCTCTGGAAATGGCAGTGGTTCACAGATGTCCTTTGCCAGACTCCTCTGATTCTTCAGGAGCAACCGTCCTCTTAAACGACACGCCCCTACGTCCGCGGGTCCGCATCCCGAGGTCTTCAGCACCTCATTTCTCCGGTCAATTCGTGGGACCCGAGTGTCTTGATTTGGTCTGCCAGGGCGGGTTCCGAAGTCATGAGACTGACTGGTGCTTCGTAAAGAATGAGGGAATGGATCCCATGGTATCTATAGTGAGAGGTCATTCTCATTCCCTACTAAGCACCAGTCATGAGATGTGCCTCCAAGTCAACCGGTCCCGTGAAACACCGAGTCCGTCCCACCCGCCCGTGGTCCCGGCCAGTCGCAGGAGCCTCCGGAGCGTTTGGAGGCGCTGACCTGGACCAGATGAACGCATGGAACACCCGGGCAAGAAAGAGAACCAGCTGAAGTGGAGTGCGATTTTTTTCCAAAAAGCGCAACCCCAGCAGGTCTTGATGCATTTCCAAGTGTCTAGTTTTCACATCAAGAAGCTCCTAAAGTCGTAGAACGATGAATTGAGGCCATCCTCCTGCTCCTTCTCCTCCTCCCTCTCCCTCTCCTCCTCCTGCTTCTTCTTCTTCTTCTTCTTCTACAACCGACATTTGCGTCTTTTTTCCTCTCCACCAGGCACCAAGCCCTCCGCGAACGGCGCCGAGCCCTCCGCGCGAGCCGCCGCCCTTCCCGGGCCCGCCGGGGCCGCCGCCGGGGCCGCCGCCGAGGAGGGTCACGGCCCAAGTGGTTCTGCCGCGTGGCGCAGGGAGACCGGGAGGATGAGGGGCAGGATGAGGGGGGTTGGTATGGGTTGGTGGGGTCGGTGTTTGAAAACAAGGGGCAGGTGGAAGATGGTTGGAACATGGCAGAAAAAGAAGAGGTAGACTTGGTGCATGTGTTTCCATCTTTTGCTCTTTGGATTTGGTGTTTTTGGTTGTGGGATGATTGGGATGGCTCCACTTGACTCTCTTTTGAAACTGAGATTGGAAGATGCTGCTGGGTATCTATCTTACATAAAGTTCACGGCCCTATTGATTACCTTGGGAGCTAGTTTTTGGATGTTTTCGGTGTGCGCGTGACTGTGGGGTGGGAGTGAGTCACTCACTTTTTGTTGAAGGATGACACAGGAGGAAGTTTTGAGATCTGGCGCAGAGAGATCCTTTTGGTAGCAGCCAGTATAGTGGGGCCCTACGTGAAGATCGGATGAGTGGATCAAATAAAGAGCCGGTTCAAGAGGTTGGTATGGATCATTGAATCATTTCCTGGTCTTGCAAGTCTGTCATCACCAATCGTATGGCTTTTCATCTTCTCTTCGAAAAAGCACATGAACATAGTGAGCACATGCGAATGCACATCGCGAAGCTCAAAAGGGTCTGCCCGTCCAAGCCCGTTGACCCGAATCGTAAAGACGCCCGTCCGAGGCCCGGCGTTTTTCGAAGAAAGAGGGAGGTCTTCTCTTTGTGTGGTCCATTGCTCTCACACTTTTAGCCAGAAAAGCATCTCATATCTGGAACACTTCTTTCGGATCAACACATCTTAGATCCGCCGAACTGGAGAATAGCACTCACGTGCACTCACTATTTATGGCCACCAGGAGCAAGTAGTCGTGGATTTACCCTACTCAGTCCTTTGTCTAGACTCCATTGGTTTCTTACTTTCGGAAGGCTGGTCGAACTCAAAACATGAGCTCGAAGGAGCCCTGGTACCAACTCGAAGGAGCCTTCCACTATCCATCCCAGCTTTTCAAGCCGTTATGCCAGACCATCAACCGTTTTGACCAGCAAACCTGCGGGCGCTTCAGCCACAAGAGTCGATCCCTTTCACTAACTCCTTCAGTGGTCATCTCTCTCCAGTGGTCATCTCAGAAAAATGTGTTTGAGAGTTCCTTCAGTGTGATATACGGCTGATGACTCTGTTAAGAAAGACGCTTACTTTCTTGTTTAAGAACATTTCTTAACACAGATAGAAACCGTACTTCCTCCAGTGTTAAGTTCTCTCCCTTCCGGAGCCACGTCGCTCGCGTCCGACGAGAGCGTGATGCGCTGCGCCGCTCGTCGAGCGCGAATTAATTAAGCGAAGCGAGGCTCAGTCAGCACGGCTTTGGACGCCAGGAAGCGAGCTCTGGTTTCCAAAAGCATGCAGCATGTGGTTTCAATCATCCCGTTTTAGAACCCTAGTGGCTCCTAGAGTCCGGTGTTTTGGCCGAACAAAACATCCTTTGGGTTCTGGCCTTTGGTGTTTCTCAAGCCCCCCCAACACATCCTTTGCACGCTCTTGACATGTGGAGCATTCACCTGTCGCTGCCCAGTGGCCGGACCACGAGTGTGGTCCTTTCAGCCAGCTCGAGCGTGCTGGAGCTCCACGCGGAAGCTAAACGATGGTTTCTTTGAAAAATGAAGAGCAGCGATGCAAAAGGGTTTAGACATGTTTAGACCCTTTTTTAGTCGTGTAGTCGTGGAATGAACAAGGGCTTCTCTGGCTAAAGGGACGAATCAGGAAAGGCGGGTGAGAGTTTTAGTCTATAACTTATAACTTTGAATTCCAGAAGTTTTGTACGTGCCATGTTCAGCCTTTGTCTGTGCCAAGTGAGGTTTGGAGTATCTTTCTTGCAGATGATCTCCTCGAATGGCCATCTCTTAGACGTTCATGAATCCATCGAAGATGCCAAGCTCTATGACGGAGATACAGTGACAGTGATTCTGCAAGAAGCCCAGCTGGCAGCCACAGGAGATGCTTTTGCATTCTATGGCAGAGATAGGGTCGTGACCTGGGGTTCAGAGAGTTCTGGTGGTGATAGCAGTGAGGCCCAAGAGCTGCTGACGGACGTGCGCGAGATCAAAGCGACCTCGACAGCCTTCGCAGCCATTTTGGCTGATGGACACGTGGTAACCTGGGGTCTGGAGGATTATGGAGGTGACTCGGGACAGGTTCTAGAACAGTTGAAAGATGTCAAGATGATTGCAGCTACAGGGGCCAGCTCGGATCCTCCACCTCCACGTGGTGGCCCTGGGCCCTTCTTGACGAGGAAGGGTGCGAAGTTTAGAGGATCCACACTCCTGGGGGAGTGACTAATGAGGGCGCCTGGCTATGGTCGTGCGCTTGGTGCCGGATGGCTTTGTTGCGACCTTGTGGGGCTGACGAGTCCGTGGTTTCTGCTGCTCTGGCTTTTTCCTTTTCGGTCTTTGACTACACGGGATCTTCTTTGGAAGTTTTGGGCTTTTCACCGTGAATTCGCACGTGCTTTGTTACGTGGAGCTGGACTGGTTGGATCGTGAGGATCCCGCTGCCTTTGCATACGTTTCACGTCATGGACATTTTGTTCGTGGATGGCTTCTCCATTGACTTGAACTTCGGCACGTCTGTCCGACCTGCATGGTGCTTTGCCGTCTTGGCCGCGGCATGGCTTCGGCAAGTGATACGGGTCGGGTGTTCTGTGGTCTCTCCACCGATCACCGCCAGGCAGCTCTGTGGTAGTCTTGCCTGACTTTGTGTTGGGCCCACCTTATCCTTCGCGGCCCATTGACTACGTGGGTCAGCATACCTTACGCTTTGCCTTTCTGGCATCGGTGTGTCGATGTTGCACGACTTTGTGTGCTGATAGCAATTCAAGGGCTACAGCACCTACAACTCCATATATATATGATTGCAGCTACAGACTTTGCGTTTGCAGCCGTTTGCGAGAAATTGGCTACCTCCGCGTGGTTCTCGCGGGCCTCAACCAGGTGCGGAAGCCAAAGAACATCCGAGTGGAAGCCCAAACCTCAGTCTTCTTTGATACGATTGTTGATTTGGTGCTTATGTTTGCAGCCATGCCTAGCTGCATCAGACGACAGAGCTGACACAGCACACCAAGCCATTTGCTCGCTTTTGTGGATCTTTTTCTTAGCATGCTGTGGCTTTATGTGGGACTGGATGACCAACAGTCCGAATGCAGATCGTAATTTGCCGACACGACAGGCCCTAAAAAACCCAAAAGATCAGAAACAGTTTCAGTGTGACAAGCACCAAAAACACAAAAAGACTCAAATTCGATGCAATACAAAATTCGCCTGCAAGCAGCGCGTGGTGTTTCCTGCGCGTACCATCCAGCTGAGACGAGTCAAACAAGCACGTCTCAAGTTTCGACGCAAGAGTGCAAGCATTCATGTGTCTCGAATTTCGTACTGGCTCTTGGGCCACCCAAACAGACGAAGGCGTGAACACAAGCGTTCCAGGCCACCAAACCTGAACAGACGTTGGGGACTACTCCTTCCACCAAAAGGGAGCAAGTCCGATGTTCAGCCTTTGAGCGCTGGCATTCATACACCTCGAGTGTCACCCTGGCTCTCGAGTCGTGCGCACCGAAACAAGCCAAGACGCCTGCAGCGCTCGGCAACACATTTGCGTAGATGTGGGAGAGCCCTGCCCTCACCAACCAGGGCCCGGAACGAAGCCGAAATCGACCCCTTTCGATGGGCGGCTGCGCATCGACACCTTTTTACTGGTGGAGCTGCTGGCTCACAGCGTTCCAAACGCAAACGCTGGCAACAGGAGCAACAACCAAGTGATGACCAATACCTAGCTCAGAGCCTGCTGACTGTCCTGCAAAGCTGGCAACAAAACAAAGGCTGCAAGCGGCCACATTGTGCAGATGACACGGGACAACAGCATCGGAAGACACATCAACAAACTACAGCCCGGGACAGCGCTCCGGCTGTTCCAAACACTAGCTCTTTAGCTAGTTCACTCATGGCTGTTTTGCAAGAGTGCATTCAAAGAAACCACAACGATGAGATTGTAGCCCAAAAGGTCAAAGAAGCGCTTCAAAAACCCAGCCGGCTGAGTGAACCACCTGGAACTACCAGGCACGACTGGTCACATTCAGGTAGACAGTCGTACCCACAAGCTCACAAAGCAACCACAACACGTTGGCAAAGGCATGCGCGGACTTCACAACCACGATGGTACGCGCCAATTACGGCTTTTGTCCAGAGCGAATGGAGTAGTGTTCCTGCCTTTCAGCCTTTTGTGGACATTGCCACAGATATCAAAGCAGGGAAAGATATCTCAAAAATCAACATCACTGAAATCAGTCAGTGGCACGATGTGCAAGAAGCCCGCACCATGTGGCATAGTTACGGATGCACAGGTTCGCTCACCCTGATCCTGTCCGGTGAAGCCAAAGATACCGAAGGGGCTAAGCACACTCGTCTCACTTTATCACGAGGCAAGGCGGGGCAAAAGGTCGAAGACGTCTCCCTTCTCTTTCTGGGGGACGCAGGAAAGGCCATCAATACTAAACCTTCCATCAAAGTGGATCCAAGCAAATTGCCCAAGATCGACCGATGCACTTTGCGCGTCGCTGCACCGAGTGAATATAGACAGCTCTTTTTAAAAGATTTTGTCGACAAGCCAAAGCACATAGCTGCCGACTTGGCCCTGCGATCTCCTCAGATTCAGGCCAGTAGTTTGACAGGAGGTCAGTGGTCCCAACAGCTTGCAGGAAAGCATTCTTTGATTGTAGGATTTTTGAAGCTCCCGCGCAAGGAGGCTGAAATCCTGTTGAAAGACAATGGTTCCAAAGGAGTTTTCACAAACATCCTTGAAACCGCACCAGCACGAAAGCCTATCACTTGGTTTTCGAGAGCTAAAGAAGAAAGCTCTGAGGCCTATTTTCATAGGTGTGTGCAAACAGCCAAGAAACGTAACACAGCTCTGTTTTACAAGAAAAGTGGCTCCAACAACTTGGGCACCGTCCCAACCAAAGAAGAGG